ATATATTTTAATGATTACATATAATATGAACAAATATTTGGAGTACATATTTTACATATTCTTCGATGTTTGAAAATTGTTTATTTGCATAATTATGTATATATATAATTTCACTTAGTGTGGTTTGCCACTTTGATCTCAACATACAGGATCTTTAAATGAAAAGATTGTATCTAAGCACATTGTGCATGTAATTAATCTCCATTGCAGTCACTCTTATCAAACGTTTGGAAAACTCTAAAATAAATAATACCACAAGAGAAATAAATTTTGCATGTTAAAGCAAAACCACGATATGTTTTTTCTGTTATTGCACCGATAAGGCTGACATATGAACACTTACCAAGCTAAATATCATAAATCGACACAGCCATAAACAAATTTGGATAAAAGATTTATTTTCAAGGAAAAATTATAAAACTTTCATTGACTGAATAGCGAACAGAATATCCCATATTCAGACATCACGAATGTGCCGCACCTAGTCTTGGCTTGCACTGGTTTGATATGTATAATAGGTACCCCCCCCCCCCCCCCCAAAAAAAAAAAAAAATAAAATAAAATAAAATAAAACAAGCCAAAGGGTCAAAGGGTTCAGTGTTTAGATATCAACTTATTCTTAGTGCAGAACACATCATTGTTCAATAAAAATAACATACCATTCCAAATAAAAGATCTCATTCGATAAAAAGCCTCTACAAACTGGCTATGTTTGCAAATCGAATATATTGTAAATCTACTATAGTATGCACTCTTTTCCTCATCCGGCAGAAAATGCCCATTTTATGGCATTAACGATATAAAATACTACATCCGTATTCACATATCATGTTTGAATAAATATTAATGGATAATTATTCTTTATCTACATCATGCATTATATGAAAATATTATGAAAATACATGCAAGATATGATGGTTTAGACCTTTTTACAGGCTTAGATTTATGAATAATTTGATTTCTATACAGATTTGTACTTAATTTACACGTGTTCATCATTTATACGTTCCCAATTGGACGATGCTTTAAAGTTGGTAAAGATGGTAAAATAGGTAAAAAAAGCCATAATAGATTTGCATCAATGTAATAAGAACGTTATAAAAAGAAAATTAAAATTGGAATCACACTCAAATGAAGCAGATACATATTAACTACAATGCAAAATGAAGTTTAAAAAAATCATTGTTATCTAAATTATTTACATTGTATATATTTTATATTAGAGTTCAAAGATTTATGAATGAATGCAAACAATACCTTCTTAATTTGTTGATGTGTGCATATCCGTAAATCCTTCACATTAAATCGTGGTCAATGCAAGTTTGTTAATTTATATTCCTCCACATGTATAATCATCCGAATATTTGTTGTAAATGTAAGTTAAACACTAACACGGCATTGTAGTGAGACGTTTTGTTCAGATATTTTAATGAGATTTCATTGTGGCCATTTTAGTCATGCTTCGTATAACGTTAAAAGGCTAAATGAATGTTTTAAAGCCATTTAACGTAGAATTTGAGTTAAGCTTGGTTTTTTTGTAGGTGGTAAAACATGTCAGTGTGCTATATGATAAAGATATAACTAATTCATTGGGACTCCTATGATATTTAAAGGGTTAATGAATATCATTTATTAATGATGTCATTAACGTTCAACTCCTTTCTTGAAATTATTAAAGACGCTACAATAAGGTTTAAATAAATAAATAAATAAATAAATAAATATATAAATAAATAAATAAATAAATAAATAAAAAATATGATAAACCTTCAATTGTTTAAACAGATCAACTGATGCACTTTTAAATCAATGATAAAGTGGAGGCAATTCTAGAAAAAATATTTTTAGTCCCTTCATGTCAAGAAACCTCTGTGAAGATAAAGTTATATGATTTAAAATGATAAATTTATACAAATGAAGTTTATCATAAACATGGTTATCATTAGTAGAATATAGATAACTTATTTCTCACTTGATCTTGCTTCTTAAAATAACTGAAATAAGATATACTTTAACGATTAGTTCAGGGTCGAAAGCCCGATTAGTTCAGGGCCGAAAGTCCGATTAGTTCAGGGTCGAAAGCCAAACGATCAATTTAACAAACAAAAAATTAAAAAAAACAACTTATAAATGAAAAAGTAATAATTAAAACAACAAATATAAGTGTTTACAAATCTTGAAATGGAAAATGGATTGTTAGCACGTGACTGTTTGCGACACATTTCTGAAATAATAGCTGATTATGTTTTAAGAAGCAAATGTGTGCGCGTCAAATTTATGAATTTCAACATTCAAAATAAAACTTTTTATCCTTGAAAGCTTGTAAATCCGTTGCGATTTTACAATCATTTTGGCCCTTGATTATTCTTGATACTTTGTAATCGTAAACACCTGTCAATTTCAAAGGTTTAATTAATTTCTTATCAGTGCAAAATCAGCATTGCAATCAAACTCTTGTAATTGGCTTTATCAAATTAATCGCGTTTTGTCAATACAGTCACACGTATGATGAAATCATTAATGTATTTAATCAATCAAATCATGATTGACGTTCATTATTTCGTTACAGCGATGAATATATTGATTGTGATTGTCCCCTACAAATATGCCAATGGAAAACTTGTTGGGGCACTGGGCATTACAAAATTGTTTTGTAATTAATTCATGTAGAAAATCTTTTTTTTAGTTAAACAGTATCAAGGGTAATAAACTATATCAGATAAAGTGATTTAATTACAAAAATACTATAATGACGAGGTTAACTTAAAATGTCATGTAAGGATTTCAGGCTATACGATGCCATGAATATAAAATGAATAGCACTAAAACTGGTGGAAAAATATCAATTATTAGATTAATAAACTTATTAATTTGAATTAAAAAACACATTGTTAAAGTACATGTTGTTGCTGAGCGCGTATCGAATAGAATGAAAAAGAACCCCTAAAAAGTCTAAAACATCATAATTGAAAATGTTGCAGGCTCGGTTTGATTAAACCTGTTCTTGGACAGTACGTACTGGGAAGTACAAGCTACTGTCTACGCCTCCCTTGCGACGGCTTAAGCAGTTTTCAACTTTTAGACATGTAATGTTAAATTTAGAATTTAGAATCAGCCGCAGATGCGTTCATACGGCTGTGATCATGAAACTTACCTAAAATGAAGGAAGGCCTTAACTTATAAAGAATGTGTAATGTAAGTTTTAATTATAAATAAAGCAATTTTCAATCATCATTTTGAATACTAAATAATTACACGTATACATGTATTATTTAACTTTTGCATGTCTTTTATTTCTTATTGATGTAATAACAAGATGTAATGTTTGCTGAGCATTGTGCCTTTTGTTTCTCCTGAATGAATGGTCCACATTCGCAAAGCGACTTAAAGGCGGATGATACATTTTGAAAGCTGAAATATTTATTTTGTTCTTAAATACCCTGTATGATCGAACCATTTTATGTAATCAAAACAGTATATTTATTTAATAAGGTCTCGCTCATTGTATGATTCTTGAAATAAACCCTAGTTTAAGTGTTTTGAGGTAAAAGATTAATTCATATTTTGATGCAAATTAGCCTCAATTCTTACTAACCCTCATTAACAAAGTGGTTATGCAGTACTCCTCCATCGAGGCATCTAAAATTTAGTCTTATAGTTATGCTTTACCTTGTCTATGTGACATAACTGAACCAACTGAAGGAAGCTAGATCAAATTTACATCTTGGTAATTATACATACACTCAAACTACAGTCAAAACCACAAAAGAAAATATTCAAATTATGTCCCTGATGAATTATCGTCAGTTGCTAACTTCTTCATCATTCTGTATCGTGATTTCAGCAGACCAATGGGAAATGCAATATATTTCAGAAATAGTAGTATATTTTGCGTGTAGATTCGTACCAAATTTTCAAAGCGAGTGATATATAAACAGTTTCAAGTTGTAAGATTATTATTGCTAGGTTCCAAATTTCATTTCTTATTTTATAATAATATAAATGGAAATCAAAGAACTGAGGGTACTCATGTGACGCGGACATTTGACAAGGGCATTGGAAAAATTGATTAATTTTGAGATCATGTGTAGAAGTAAAAATGACCTCAAAGCGTTTCTAATTACAAGATATAAAATTTTAAATAAACGTTGTTGTTGTCTGAGGAAAAATTTTGGTGTCCGAATTCAAACAAAATTTTGTTGCCTGAATATGTCACTAAAATCAGTGATGTTATCATAGAGATGTCCTTTAGCTTTTAAACGTATGAAATGAAAAAAATAATTGAACGATTATCGAAAAAAAAGTCATTTATTTTAAGCGAGAATTTTACTAAATTATTAACCACTTCATTGTAAGAATATTTTGTAGTGTAAAATATTCATTAAGAAAATTGTTTATAATTTGACGAAATGGATTCTTACGCATATGTGATAAGCGAAATTGTGTCAGATATAAATGATATATAGACTAGCGCATGATGTTATTGACTCAATCTTTCCCGAAATAATGTGTTGCATAAGTATTGAACAACTGTACCACATATTTTTTTCAAATTATTATATTTTCTGTATAGTTTAATTAGGTTTTTACTATAGATATGTTCTTTAATAACATAAAAAAATCATACGAATACCAATGACGGATATTTCCTTATCGCACCATGAACTGAATCATGATTTAATTTACGGAACAAAACTTCTTTATTTTCATTTAAGATGAATCTTCTTTTTTCTAAATATAAGATATAATATGATGAAAATAGAAATTGGTTTGCAATACTATAATTGTGAAATGAACTATCCATGATGCAATTTTACACACATCAGATAGCTTTAACCCTATATCTACATATATATTTAGTATCACGAACATAATTTATTAAGCAAACATAAGTTAATAAATTATTTAGATTTAATATAAAACATTGTTATGCTCGTGTGCTTGTGAAAATAAGAAAATCACAATTTATTATCACACAGATTATAAAACATGCATCATACTACAATTGCGACTTCTTCCGCTTTACAGATGGTAGGATCCTTAGCGAACACTATGTATATAATTCCAGGCACGAGAGGGCACTTGTTTAGAACCTCTTTAGCTAGCTAAAATTTCCTTCATGAAAGAATCCACAGTCTCTGATTCAAATCTAGGCTCCCTTTCATGGAAATAAATGCTATAAGAAATAAAGATTCGAAGTTTTCGAATTGAGGTATTTACATAATGTATAAACAATTCATAAGCACTGCTTTATCTTTACAAGTTAAGAATGAGTTCAGACCAAGTGTTTTTTCTAAGTGCTTTAATTAGTCATATTCATCATACATTTATTACGATAATGAAAGACGGAAATTGGCCATTTGACCTGCACCGAGTCACTGTGACTTAAAACAAAATCAAACTAATCTTAACATTACTTATTCTTGTTTAACCATTTCGGGTTCATTGGAAGAAAACAAAATTATGAAATTAACTTAATCAATTATCATCCGTGAAATATTTAATCAATTGAAAGGCGGCAAAGTATGCATCATGTCTTGTATGTAATGTGTAGAGATATGAGGGAAAGCAACAGTATCAGAATTGATGGTCATTGCTGTTTGCAAACATTTCTGAGTTATATATAAACAAATTGAAGATTTTAGATATCTTCCTGCTGTATCAGAGACATCAAACATTGAAAGAATTAAGATCATTATAAAAATTTTCAAACATAAGGACTTCAGAAATAACTTTGTATGAGTTATATGATGTTTAAACTATGTTTCGGTTGTCTGAAATCGGTGAACAAATTAAATAGTTTATACATGTATATACAAGAAATCAAGCAAGGACTTTTGAACAAAAAAGGTTGAGAAAATAAGTTTGATAAGAAATGCTGTATGAGGAATGTAGAAATGTGTGTCAATTTTAAACATGTTTAGTGTATTTTCACATGTTTATATATTTTGCTGCTCTTTATAACAATGCTATTCAAAGAATAAAAAAATTACATCGTCCGATGAATCAAACTTATACATAGCTTTTAATATCATCCGCGGAGAAAGTACAGGAGAAATACAACACAATACAAAAATTTTAATACAAATCATAAATCTCTAAGAGCAAGTAATAATAGCAAACTGATAACAGATTATGCTCAGCATGGAACATGATAGAATTTTATTGCTGTTAGTTGCAAACACAAATGTTGAATGCACGTGCAGAATAAGATTAACACCAATCAATTGATCTTTATTACTTTAGCAATTACATTACCGCACGTGAATTTACCCTAATATTGTGAAGCAATCATGATATAAAGAGTATTATAAACATTGTATTGATATTATGATAACAGATGACTAATTGTACCCGAAGAAAGTGCATCATTAAATCCCTTATTCAAGCTCATTGTTTTTTCATAATGTTTCCCTGAATGGTTTATTCCTGTTATATTCCATAAAATTGCGCATTATATAACTTAAAGATCCTGTAACACATTTTTTATGGTTTAAAGTCATAAATATGATGTATCAATATTGTAGGTTCCGAAAAGCATTATTTATAAAAATATAAATATAACACTTAGTGTGGTTTACCACTTTGATCACAACATACAGGATCTTTAAATGAAAAGATTGTATCTAACCACATTGTGCATGTAATTAATCTCCATAGCAGTCATTCTTATCAAACGTTTGGATAACTCTAAAATAAATAATACCACAAGAGAAATAAATTTTGCATGTTAAAGCAATACAACGATTTTTTTTTTTGTTATTGCAACGATAAGGCTGACATATGAACCCTTACCACGCTAAATATCATAAATCAACACAGCCATAAAACGATTAATCAGACATCACGATTGTGCCGCACCTAGTCTTGGCTTGCATTGGTTTGATATGTATGATAGGTACCACCGCCCCCCCCCCCCCAATAATAATAAAAAAAAAAAAGCCAAAGGGTTAAGTGTGTAGATATCAACTTATTCTTAGTGCAGAACACATCATTGGTCAATAAAAATAACATACAAGTCCAAATAAAAGATCTCATTCGATAAAAAGCCTCAACAAAGTCATTGTGTATATTGTATATCTACTTCCGTATGCACCCTCATCCGGCAGAAAATGCCCATTTTATGGTTTTAACAATGTAAAATACTACATCCGTATTCACATATCATGTTTGAATAAATTAAATTTTAATGGATAATTACTCTTTATTTGCATCATGCATTATATGAAAATATTATGAAAATCATGCAAGAAATGATGGTTTAGACCTTTTTACAGGTTTAGATTTATGAATAATTTTACTTCCATACATATTTGCATTTAATTTTCACATGTTTATTATTTTCACGTTCACAATTGAACTTTGCTTAAAAGTCGATAAAGACAGTTAAGTAGGTAAATAAGCTATTAAAGATTTGCATCAATTTAATAAAAACCTTATCAAATAGGGGAGCACAGTCAAATGAAGCAAATCAACATAAAATGCAATCCAACCACTGGTACAACATAAGCGTTATCTAAATTCGTTATTATATTTTATATTACAGTGCGAAGATTTATGAATAATTTATAAAATGCAAATAATGCCTTCTTAATTTGTTGATGTTTGCATATCCGTAAATCATTCACATTAAATCGTGGTCACATCAAGTTTGTTAATTTATATTTTTGCACATGTATAATCATCCGAATATTTGTAGTAAATGTAAGTTAAACTCTAAGTCCGCATTGTATTGAGACGTTTTGTTCAGATATTTTAATGAGATTTCATTGTGGCCATTTTAGTCATGCTTCGTATAACGTTAAAAGGCTAAATGAATGTTTTAAAGCCATTTAACGTTGAATTTGCGTTAAGCCTGGGTTTTTTGTTAGTGGTAAAATATGTCAGTGTGCTATATGATGAAGATATAACTAATTTATTGAGACTCCTATGATATTTAAAGGGTTAATGAATGTCATATATTAATGATGTCATTAACGTTCAACTCCTTTTTTGAAATTATTAAAGACGCTACAATGAGGTGTAAGTACATAAATAAATAAATAAATAAATAAATAAATAATAAATATGATAAACCTACAATTGTTTAAACAGATCAACTAATGTACTTTAAATTCAATGATAGAGTGGAGGCAATTCTAGAAAGATTATTTCCAGTACCTTCATGTCAAGAAACCTCAGTGAAGATAAGGTTATATGATTTAAAATGATATATTTATACAAATGAAGTTTATCATAAACATGGTTATCATTAGTTGAATATAGATTACTTATTACTCACTTGATCTTGCTTCTTAAAATTACTGAAATAAGATATACTCTAACGATTAGTTCAGGGTCGAAAGCCTGATTAGTTCAGGGTCGAAAGTCCGATTAGTTCAGGGTCGAAAGCCAAACGATCAACTTTACAAACAATAGATAAAAAAAACCTTATAAATAAAAAAGTAATAATTAAAACAACAAATATAACTGTTTACAAATCTTGAAATGGAAAATGGATTGTTAGCACGTGACTTTATGAATTTCAACATTCAAAATAAGACTTTTTATCCTTGAAAGCTGTAAATCCGTTGCGATTTTACAATCATTTTGGCGCTTGATTATTCTTGATACTTTGTAATCGTAAACACCTGTCAATTTCAAATGTTTAATTAATTTCTTATCAGTGCAAAATCAGCTTTGCATTCAAACTCTTGTAATTAGCTTTATCAAATCAATCGATTTTTGTCAATACAGTCACACGTATGATGAAATCATTAATGTATTTAATCAATCAAATCATGATTGACGTTTATTATTTCGTTACAGCAATAAATATATTGATTGTGATTGTCCCCCACAAATATGCCAATGGAAAACTTGTTGGGGCACTGGGCATTACAAAATATTGTTTCTTAATTAATTCATGTAGAAAATTTATTTAGTTAAATAGTGTCAAGGGTAATAAACGTTAAAGGGATTTAATTACAAAAAAATTAATGATGAAGTAAGGAGGATTTAAGGCTATACAATACCATGAAAGTAAAATAAAAATAACCAAAACAGGTGCAAAAATATCGATTTTTTAAAAAAAAAGTTGTTTAAGTTATATATCAAGAAATTTCAACTTTTATTTGAGTGATAAAGAAATTGTACTGAACCGATTATAAATGAATAGCATAGATTGAGTTTTTCAAGAACGTTTCAAAATTTAAGGCTTCTAATTCTGTAGGATAGTTTTGACTGTTAATATGGTATTCGGGTAATATCTTAACAATTAACATGATAAGAATGTAATTTATTAACTTAAATGATAAATAAAATAATTGAATTTTGAGTTGTAAATTTTAAGATTTGCTTTTATCTTTTTTTTCAGTGACACCGGCGGAACGGACATGAAGATGGCAACATCAAAACACCAATTCTTATCGATCGACGTAACCAAATAACCATGCAATTTTCGCCTATAATTATGTCTTTGTTTTTGCTTCTGAGTGAATAGTTTGTGTTTACAAATGTGCTACAAGGTGAATGGTATATTTTGACAGCGGAAATATTTGTTTTATTTTAGATAAAATCGCAATTATTCACGCCATGAATAAAGTCTCGCTCATTGTATGATCATTCTGAAATAAACCCTGATCCAAAGTGTTTTGAGGTAAAAGTTTGATTCACACTGTAATGCCCATTTTGCCTCAATTAACACTGACCCTCCTTGACAAAGTGGTTTAGGACATTGTCATATGCAGTATTCCTCCATCGAGACAGCTGAACGGTAGTCTTATAGTTACGCCTTACCATTTTTAAGGGTGACCTAACTGAACGAAGATAAAATCAAGTTGACATCTTAGTAATTATATACACACTCGGTCTATAGTCAAATTCACATAAGAAAATATGCAAATTATGTCTCTGGAGAATTGTCGTCAGTTGATCATTCTGTATTTGAGTTCAGCAGACCAATGGGAAATGCAATATATCTCAGAAAGGATAGTATTCTTTTACGTACGGATAGGTACTAAGTTCACAAAGAGATATGAACAATTTCAAGTTGTTAGATAACTTTTTGCTTTTTCAGAGACTTTATAGGGAGAAGCATTGAGATTATGTCAAAGATATTTCAAAAGATTTAAAATAACTGTGCTTTACTTTATGTTGACCTTGTACATA